CTGGCTTGGTACAGTCACATTGATTTCCACGTCAGATCACAAAAGCTATAAACACAGAAGTTATAAGGTTCAAGTGGCAGACATACACTGCTTTCTATATTACATCTAGATAGATGACAATTATCTTCCTATAAAACAGGCTTGCATTTCTTCAGTGGTTTGGCATCACTTATGGGAGAAAATTCCAGAAACTCAGTAAAAAAAAGAAACATGTTATCTTGCCTTTTTCCCACTGCTCCATCCTCACATTCAAATTCATCAGAAATACATCTGAATTCTGTGACACGATATAAAGTTTTCCCAGTAGAGAAACAGGGGTAAGCACGGCAGAGATGGGTTTCCTATAAGCAAAGACCCCCAGGGGTTCAAACCACAGAACATGTCTGTGAAGTTGAAAATGCGTATTTCTTTTTCCTTTTTTAAATGTATTTAGTACAAGATCTACAGGGTTTAGGGGGGCCTCACAGATCAGACACATAGTAATCTTCCTGTTTTCAGCCTCTCAAGAATTGGGATTATAGGTGCGTGCCCCCACACCCAGTCTCAATCACTGTCTCAGCGCACCCCAGGGACCGGGTGCAAATATGTATTTCTGAAGTATACGTGTGAGGCAGGAGAGGACAGGTGGCTGAATTCCTCCTGCAATTACGGGTTCTTCTCCTCTGACACAGACAAAGGTGTGGAAGCAGTTCTCCACCCTAAAATGTTCTCTAACTCTGGTAGCTCCGCCTCCCTCTGAACCCGCTTAGATAACCTTAGACAATCTACGCATCAGAAGACTCCTTATTTAATCACAGCTGCAGAGCTCCTTTTGACAGGTAAAGCAATTCTCACAGGTTTATTAGGGATTAGAACTGACAGCTTTGGGAGCCATTATTTTTCCTACTGTGAGAATGATGTTCTCTCTGCGAGTAGGACCGTCAGAGGACTCTTATTTCAGGGTTGTTTCTTCTTATTATTTCCTATGGACATTTTGGGAACGGAGAGTCCTGTAGTGTCACTAAAGGACAGATTTCCCAGACCAGTTGGGTAACTGTTCTTTGTCCAATCTGGTAAAGCCAGATTAGTAGGCATCTGATTGCTATTTTGGACACATTGTTTACATGCTTAATTTGCGCAACTCTTTGTGGGATGGGGTTTCTCACATGCTACAGGAGTTCTGACTCCTCTCTGGCATTGGAAAAGCAAAGTTCTAGTGAAGCAGAAACCCAGAGGTCTCGGTGCTAAACCTAAAGAATGGAGAGATCATGTTTACTAAGCAAGTGTCATGACATAGTGAGCCCTGCCCGCAGTCCGATGAGCGGGTGCGTTGGCTCTCCTGGCGTCTGGGGAGTGGTCCTGTTTCTGGACCTTCCAGAAAATGAGAACTGGCCCTGTGGGTTACCTAAGAACTACCTGAACTGCTTTGTTTCATCCTCTCAAAACTTGGGCCCTCTGGGGAAGAGGAGCCGGCTCAGTGCTATAATTAGCAACGTGTGTTTTCATAAACCAAACTGTCACCAGTTCTTACTGCTCCCGTAGCTTTACCCCATTCACTTTATTGTCCAGCTACTTGTCAATCTTAGAATCCTTTCTGTTTACCACAGTCAAGCCTCCAAAGATCTGTGCCTTGCTGACTTAGCACTCACGATTTCACCGCCAGTGGCTCTGCTTATCTTTTGTAATTTTTTGTTTTTTAGCTCAGAGAATTTTATTATAAAACATTGGTACTCATATACATAAGCGAGTAGGAACTGAAAATTCATCATACATTTACTTCATTTTTTAGCTTGACCTTCTAGTAAATCTTTAGCTTCATTGATTTTGGCTGCTGTGTAAGGAGATCCTTCTTTGTCTGGGTGATTAAAGAGCATAATTCATCGATGAGCACATCTTATTTTTCCTTTATTGGCAGTCAGGCTTACACCTAGTATTTTTTTTTTTTTTTTTTCAGAACTGAGGATTGAACTCAGGCCCTTGTGCTTGCCAGGGAAGCGCTTATTCCACCGAGCCATCTCCCTGGCTCTACACCTAGTATTAATGCTGCCTCCCGTTTTGTCATTTTGGGTTCAAGCCCACTTCTATAATAGCCATCACTGATGGCAGATCTTGTGGACTCTGAAAAACTTGTTTTACTTGAAGCTCCACGTGCTTCATGGCTTGTAAAACATGGAGGTTAAGTGCAAATCTTGCAGCAGCAACAGTCAGCCCAGCTGCTACTGCTGTGCTGGCCACGTTTCAAGAAGGCTGTCCTGCCTTTACCGGGGGTGCAGTTCATCCCAGCACAAAGACCATGGCCACGAAATACCTGCCTTTACCAAAAAGTGACAACCACCACTATTCTCAATGTAACTTTTGATGTGTCAAATATATACATTTAACATTTGATTAAAAAAATGAGCTTAGGGGCTGGAGAGATGGCTCAGTGGTCTAAAGCACCTACTTGAAACAGGCTTGGCAAAGCACAGGGACCGCAGTTCGATCCCCAGCACCACATGCCAGCCAGACCCGCCCCCTGGTGGGCTGAGCTGGCCACACACACACACAATAAATAAATGTAATAAATAAAAATAAATAAATATTTTAAAAAAATGAGCTTAGCAGGCACATTCCTGCTTTATTATTGTAACTAGCTAAGACAATGACTTAGACTTAAAAATTAAGTTTTCTGTATTTTTCATTGCTCTTGCATTAGATCAAAGTTGGACTTTGAAAAAAGATGGGTTTTTCTAAATGTAGAATTATGAAAAATTATCATGGAGGATTTATGATGTTCTGTTTAAATAAACATCTAAATTTGAACAGGAGGGGCACCTGCCCTTTAGCTCAGTTCTTTAAGTGGCTGCTTCAACAAAGCAGTCAGGCTCAGGCTGTTGTGGTTCAATCCCCGTAACTGCAGCCAGCCAAACCTGCCCTGAAGGCATTTGGAGCAGGGAAAAAAAAAAATCCTTAAATTTGAACAGGAGGCAGAACGGTTCCATGACAGTGGATCTGCGGAATCCAGGCCCTGCTGCTCCCTACTCCCTCAGTGCTCCTGTGAGCATTTCCTGTTGTCCTGCCAGGCCTCAATTTACTCTTCTGTTAAACTGGGATATGAAGGGCCCCCTCCCCCCGGGGCACAGCCTTTTGTGGCCTGCTGTGGCCTGCTGAGCTGGCCCCTTTGCTAGCCTGCCTCTGGGGCCACTTACCCGGCAATTGAGACTGGGCGTGGTGGTGCATGCCTGTAATCCCAGCTCTTGGAAGGCTGTAAACAGAACACTATGAGGCCGATCTAGTAGTAAGACCCTGAACACCCTGTAGATCCTTCCTTAAAATTAAAATAAAAAACCAAAACCAAAACAAAAGTGTATGAAAAAAGATACACTTTAAGTCAAGGGCATAATATACAGTAGGCAGGTGAGTTTTGATGAGTTAATGTCTCGCAGTTGGAGTTAAGTCTAGCAGTGTTGACAAGGGTCTGTAGAAAAAGACTGAAAGCAGCTACAATTGAGTAACAAGAGGACCAACACACCCAGACAAGGGCCGTGTGTACCACGGTTGTTTCGTGTGATCATAGATGATGGCGATACAGGGGCAATGAATCTCCAGGCCTGAAGGGTACCTGGGACGAGTTTGTGTTCTCTACAACGGAAGAATGAATTTTAGGAACAAACAGAGGTTAAGAGCAGAATATATTTATTGGGGGAAAGAAAACTCCTCTTCTAGAGAGGGACAAGAGGGGGGCCCAAGTGAGTTGTCCCCTGGAAACTCTGTCTTCCAGGGACTATTATAGAGTAAAACCATGTGGTGAGGTGGGTCTAAGAACATGGGAACTCGCTTAGGTGGGCATGAGGTGTGACAAAACTATAGTCAATCAATGAGATTACAAGCACCGTTGCTGAAGTAAAATTGATTAAAACCAGTACCAAGTGAGGAAATGACTGGGCAGGCTCTTTCTTGACTCTTTTGTCTTGAGGTCTGGCCAGCAGGGGGAGTGTCCCCCCCAACCCCTTCTGCTTGCCAGGCAGGGACTTAAGCCATTGAGCTTCCTCCCTGGCCCAATGCACCAGCTATTTAACAACACTGTTCGGAACCTCCGCATTTTAAGAATCTGAATCTTTTCCCCTTATGTATATATACTGGGTAGCTTGGGTAATTTTTTTCTTCTCTAAATATTTCTTTCTTTCATCGTTTTTTTTCTCTATATAGTTGGTTTCAGTACATGGCTCCGACTGCCAGTGATCCTCCTGTTTTCGGCCTCCCCAGTGCTGGGATTACAGGCGTGCGCTACCATGCCGGGACTCAGTCGCCCCAGAGTTGGAGCGGCGCGGCAGGAGGCACGGGGGACCAGGGATTGAATTCTGGTCCCTGAGCTTGCTAAAGCAGGTGTTTAGTCAGCTGAGCTATCTTGCTTCCCGCTAAATACTTACAGCTCTTTTTAAAAGTTTTGCATGCTTATATCTGGTAATCAAAACTAATTTGAAGATAACTATGGAATATAACAACCATTGTTGACTTTCTAGTATTTTCTTTAGTAAAATCCTATCGTTTCAATTTTTTTTTTTTTTACTATTTTTTATTCTCTTAAAAAACAGAAAAGAATCTGGATGTTCGAAGGTGCTAAGGAGGGCATGCCACCCAACGGGAGGACGCAGGCTCCCCAGGCGGGTGTCTGGGCCCCCAGGCTGGGCCTCCAGGGACCCCAGGGGCTCCGTCTCTTCCCAGGTAGTGCCTGTAATCGCCTATTTGGGGCCAGCCAGGGTCACATATTTGGGACACTGGGTGGTCCAACAACGATGGTGTACACCCAAGTGACTACAGTACCCTCTTTATTCACCCAGGACTACCGAAAGGGAGCTGCAGTGCGGGCGCACAGGCTCAGGCCCGCGCCCCAGGTGGCAGGCACCCCGCGCACCTCCGATCAGCCCGCGTGCAGGGGGCGGGCAGGCGGGCCTGACCCCGCCCAGAAGCCCCGCCCAGAAGCCCCGCCCCCAGAAGCCCCGCCCCGCCCGGGCGCCCGAGGGCGGAAGTGACGTCAAGCCAGAGCCATATCCGGGGGCCGAAACTAGGAAGAAACTTGGAGCTTCCGAGGCGCCAGCAGCCTTCGCAGCCGCGGCTCGTGCTGTGCCCAGTAGCCGGGCCGAGCTGAGCTGCCGGGAGGGAGGCCTGGCCATGGCGCAGCCCGAGCCTTCGGTGGTGTGAGGCGCGGGCCCTCCCGCGGGGACCCGGCCGGCTGCGGGCGGGCCGGCGGGAGGCGTAGTCTCAGCCGCGGCCGCCGCTGGCCGGGCTCCGGCGCCATGAACATAGACGTGGAGTTCCACATCCGCCACAACTACCCGTGGAGCAAGTTGCCGGCCAACGTGAGGCAGGTACGGGCGCGCGGCCCCGCCCTCCGGTGGCCTGCGCCTCCGCGGCGGGTTCCGGCGCCTTCTCCTCCGCCCGCCGGCGCGGGGCCCTGACGTGCGGCGCAGGGCGCGGAGGGGCGACTCGGCCGGGCGCCTGCCTGACGGGCCGGCTGCGAGCGACGACGGGGTCCCGGACGGGGTCCCTGGGCTCGCCCGGAGCCTTGCCCGCGGCCGCCGGGGACCAGGCGCCTGGGGTGACCCCCGCGGGAGTGGGGCTCGTCCGGCAGGCTGCGCGGGGTGCGTGCGGCGGGCGCGGAGCTGCGGCCTCGGGCCGGTGCGGGTCGGTAAGCGGCGAAAGGAAGGGCTTCCCGAGGGTTGGGACGTCGTTTTGAAAAACTTGTCCGAGGCAAAGCACGGGTCTTCCGAGCAGCGAGCGAGCAGCTGGGTCTGTCAGGTCGGGAGTTGGGCACGTGTCGCCGCGGCCTTCCGACGGGGTCGGGGGAGGCGCAGGGCTGGCCGCGGGGCGGGTCGTGGAGGGCGCGCGGCCTCGTCCTGCCGCACTTCCCCTTTAGACCGGAGGAGTTTGTTGAAGATGTGTCAACATGTGTCAGCGGAGTGGCGGGGCTTTTGAGAGTTAATGCTCCAAGTTTTGAGTGACAGTCTTACTCCGATGTTTAACATATTTATTAAGGACCTGTGCCTTCTTCCGGGTGCTGGTAACTCGCAGCAGTCGGGAACACGGAGACCCTGCCTTCATGGAGCTTATATTCTGGCACACAGAGATCAGCAGTAAACCAATGAGTGAATGATTACTACGTAATGGGTGGGTGCTGGAAAATCGTAGAAGACGTGTTAGGATACTTACGTGTAAAAACACTCTCTCTGACTTTCAGTTTCTCCTGCTTTTGGAGAGTAACGTCCAGTTTTTCTTTGGAACTGGACATTGGAAAGCTTGGAATGGTGGTGGTTGTGGGACTATTTTAGTTTACTGTGCCACCGCCCAACCTAGAGTAGTAAGTGAATAATATGGGGTCTGGTGATGCATCCCATGGCAGAAAGAATGCTTTTATGTAAAAGATAGCAAAGCTCAGGGAAGTGGAAAGATACATTTCAGGGACTTAGAATTCTTAGGTGTCAGTGGCTGGCCAGACACATGTATCTCAAACTGGAAAAACAAAGCCCTAACTCTGAAGGAACTTGTTCTCTTGTTAAGTTGCAGGAAGGCTTCCGTTTGGAGTTCTGTGTCATAGCTGAGGAAAGTTGGGACGCCAGTAATCCTTTTTTTTCTTACCATTTTTTCTCTGTTGTTTCACCAAAATTAATGTAGTGTAATGAACAGTAAGGGATTAAGTACTGACAAAAGGCTTTCTAAAATTTGCTTATGGTTATTAAAAATAATCCCAGAATAGTATTAAAATTAGGTCCAAATACCAAATTAACTAAAAAAGAAATTGTTTTGCAAGATCACTTAAAGCCTCAGCTGTTTGAGCTTAGGATAAACTTGGTCGCTGGTAAGTGTTGAAAAACTCATCTGTACAGGTTTGCACTTTTCCTAGGTCAGCCTCGATCTTAGATTACTTTGTCAGCTTTCTGCCTGTTTTCTTATCTTGAGTCAGAAGAGGTCCATTCTTTCCATTCTTCACACTACAATGGGATGAGATTTCTACGATGCAAAGCTAGTCCTATCATTGCCTGTCCCTTATATTACTTGTGCTTCTTTGTGAATCCATTCAGGTCTTCCCATCTACTGTGAGATTATCCTGACCTAAATCTGGAGAAGATGCCCTTGGCCATCCTGCTGTAGCTGTTTTTCATTATAACACTAAGCCACCGTGGTACATTTTCTGATTATAGTACGTATGCTTTTGTGTTACAAGCACCAGGCACATAGTTGGTTTTTAACAAGTATTTATGGCATAAATGAATGGTGGCATCAGCGTGAGATATTTCCCAAGCAGCCAAAGTTGAATGAATTTAAAAGTTGGTGATAGAAAGAACTTGTCTTTGGTATCTCAGATACTGTAAGTTCTGATGATGTGATTGCCAGTGAGTTTTGATGAGGTCAATTTGGAAATGACTTGTATTTCCTAGTTCTTTTTTTTTTTGGTACTGGGGATTGAACTCAGGACCTTGTGCTTACTAGGCAAGCACTTAAGCTGCTATCTCCCTGGCCTCATATTTCCTAGTTCTGACAGCTAGAAGTTTTAGAATTTTTTCTTAAAAATGTAGTTCAAGCCAATTTTTTGTAGATGAGATGAAATATTTTTAATATGGTATGGGTTGCATTAGACTTAAACATTAAAAGTTGTGGATGGGGCCATTGTTTTTAGGATTTTTTTTATAGTTATCGTGTATTCATTGTTTAAAACAATTCATAATAAAATAAACAGACCCTTTATTTTAAGGGAAATTGTATGATGGAAAGTCCGTGTAATCCAAGAAGAGTGAATTAAAATTATGATTTTTGGGAGGAGGGGCAGTTTGGGATGTACATACTGGTGTTAATGTGTCTAGGAACGGTGGCATTGGGAAGTCTACTTTTAGGCTGACTTTCTAAACAATGTGATAATTCCCTTTATATGCAGCCCAATTTCTTTTGTCAGACCTTGCCCCTATTTCTGCAAAGCCAGCATTGTGTCAAAAGCACTCCTGAACTCTATTACATCTATGATTGGCAACAATGTTTTAAAATAGATTTGGGTATGGCTGGTGGTGATTGGGGCAAAGAATCTCTGAACAGACTCATTTTATTTTACACATTTGGCTAGGGAAGAATTTTTAGGTATTTATCTGCACACACACATGATTGATTAGGACCAGTCATCATTTATTACCTACTGCAAAAACTCACGTTTCACAGATTTTGTATTCTCCAGTGACAAAAATAATGAACTGATATAGTTTGTGTAACTTGCTTTTTAAGTAAAATACATCTTGATTCATTTATAAATAAAATATTTTATTGAAATAAAAGCAGTCCAGACTTAGTGGAAATAGACTTTGAAAGGAATAAAATGGTTGTTGAGAGTAAACTTAAACTTATTTTGAAACAACAAAATCACGTTTGGAACTTGCCAAGGTTTTAGCCAAACTTGTGTGCTTGTGTGAGTTTGCATATGTGCGTGTTTTTTGTGTTCTGTAAGAAACTCATTTGACAGTAGACCTGGAGAAGTTGAAAGACTGACAGAAGGTATGTCCTTTGGATCTTCTAAATATCTTCAGCACTGACCAAGCCACAGTGTACGTCTGGAGGATGGTGGGCTGCTTTCTTCACAGTGAAATCTACTTCTAACCACTTGGAGCGTCTCCACATGGAAACAGTGTGAGCACACTCTGGTAGTGTGCTTCTGTGCAGTCGTCAAAAACTATTCTGGTGCAAGAAGAAAGACAACTTTCTTACATGTCCCAGTTTTTCTTACAGTACTACCCACTAGTATTTCTGGTTAGGACCAGTTTATTTAGGTGTGTGTTTTGTCTGTCTTATGTTGAGTGCCTTACATGTAAGACACGTGTATGAATTTTTACATTGGCCTTTCAAAACCTATAAGAAATGCCATGGATCTTGCTGGCCTTGATTTACTAAGATACCTGAGTTCACTTTGTAGTGTAGGTATGGAAAGAGCACACCTAGTAAATAGTGATCGTAAATTAAGTTTATGGACACACATTGCTTGTGATGTTGATGGTCAAGCACACTTGTCTTTGCTTTCATGAACATTTCATCTTTGAAGTTATATGCATTGCTAGAAATTTTTTTACTTGTTAAAAAAATACAGATGGCCTCTGTCCATGGATAGGTATCTGTGGATTCAACCAATTGTGAATTGAAAGTGTAAAAAGTTGTGTCTGTACTGAACATTTTCAGGCCTTTTTCTTAGCATTATGTCTATACAATATAGTGTACCATCTTATTTACCTAGCATTTGCATTGTATTAGGTATTTAACCTAGAGAAGATTTGGAGTACACTGGATATGTGTAGGGTCAGTGCAAATACTGTGCCTTTTTATGTGGGAAACCTGGGTATCCATGGGTTTGTTAACCTTGGAGTTGTGGGACCAGACCCCCTGGATACCAAGGAATGGCTCTTGTGTCAGAATTCTAAAGCTGTCTCCCTGTTCCCCATTCAATTCATAAGGAAACGGCATTTTAAAAAAATTTTTTATTTGTGTGTGTGTGTGTGTGTGTGTGTGTGTCCAGCTCAGCCCAGCAGGGGGCGGGGCTGGCTTGCATGTGGTGCTGGGGGATTGAACCGCGGTCCCTGTGCTTTGCTAAGCTTAGCTTGTTCTAAGTAGGCGCTTTAGACCACTGAACCATCTCACCAGCCCAGGAAATGGCATTTTAAAGAAGCAGTCTTAATGTATGTTCTCTAGATATCTTTAGTAAGCATAGTTCTCATTTACAAATAACTGTGAGTTAGGGGTCTGCCCTTAGTTACCATTCTTAAATTTAAATAAATGTAGGTGTAGAAAACCACTCACCCATCAATGTAACACATGCAGCTTGGAGGAATTCAGGGAGCAAGTTTTTGTAAATAAAACCTAACTGCTCTTACATTGGGTAATTTCAGTAAGTCATTTTAGAAAGGCAGGCTGGAAAGAAAATACTTTGAATTTTTGCACTAATACCCCAGTGAAAGAGATAAGGAAATATTCTTTATTTAGTTTTGGAAATTAGAGGTAGGATGAAATTAGAGACATGGGTTTCAAAGTTTGAGGGATAAAACAAGAACCATTGACTCTGACAATGCCTCTGACACAAGAGCCATTGATTTTATTTGGTACAGGGTCTTGCTACACAGCTCGGACTTGTAGTGATCCTTCTGTTTCAGCCTCCCCAGCACTGGGATTACAGGCATGTGCCTGGTTTTGGTGGTTGGCGGGTACCAGGAGTCCAGGGGCCAGCACGTTATGTGGTACTGGAGATTGGACCTGGGTGCTTGTGCTTGCCAGGCAGGCGCTTAGACCACTGAGCTATCTCCTCAGCTGTACCATTAATTTTAAAAGTTGTTGAATAACTATCTGAAATTTCTTTTAGAGTCTTGGAAATTCACAGAGAGAATATGAAAAGCAAGTTGTCCTGTACAGTATCCGCAATCAGTTACGATATAGAAATAACTTAGGTAAGTACAAGCATTTTTATATTAAGGTGAAAATGACTTTTTTCTGACATTATTTTTATAAATCTGACCTATCTTTCAATACATGCTTCAAGGTACAGAGTTTAAGAAACCCTGCTGACCCATTTCACTTAACAATTTGTATTTGCAGCAGCATTTTTCTCATTCTGATGAAAACTGTCTTTTAGAATAATTGATTTATAGCTCAGAAATTCTTTTTTCCTGTAAAATATTAATCTTAATTCAGTGCCTTCTTTGGCCTGAGAATATGCCAGAAAAGGAAATGTACGCAAGTTCTTAATTTTCAACTTTGAAATTTGCTTTGTAGCTATAAATTTTGTAAATAATGTAGTTTGAATGAAGAATGCTTTCTATTGTAACTAGAACAGATTTTAAACACTGTTAATTCCCTAACACATTTCTCCCCCATTTAAAACAGTTTGCTTTTTATTTATCAGGTCGCTTTGGTTATTCTGTTCTTCTGCCTTGCTAGTCTTTCCTCTCATTGGTCAGTGTTAAACATAATATTTAAGTGATAGTTTTTTGGTATAAACATTTTCTATGAAAGTCAAAGGGTTTTTTTGCATTAAAAAAAAAAAAGCCAGTAGTTTTTAAAAATATACTTGACTTATTGAAAACTAGCCTGCATCTGGCTGTCTTGTAAAGTGGTACAGAAAGGAATTGTGTGACTTACTGGCCTGTGCTTTGTGCCTTTGAGGGAGCACATTACCGTTCCACTCTACTTTGTGATTTGGTAAGCATTAGTTCTTACCTTATATATTTTTGCTTCTATATTCTAAAGCTATTTCTTGTGCTGTAATTATTCATTTCTTCCAACTTAGAATATTTTATTGGTTCTTTTCCTTTTTTAAATTTTAATTTATTTTATCTTTTTGAGAGCGGAGCTCATGCAGTGCCAGCTGGCCTCAAAATCACAGCTATCCTCTTCAGCCTCCCGAGTGGTGGGGTTGTAGGTGTGAGCCACCACAGCTAGCTAGCTTTGGTTCTTTGCTAGTTTCTGTGCTTTAAAAAATGAAATTGGATTGTAAACTATTTCTTCATTTAGTTTATATAACTGTAGGAAACCTGGAAGCACTGAAAATGTTCTGCTTTCCTGTAGTTAAACATGTCAAGAAAGATGAGCGGAAATACTATGAGGAGCTACTAAAGTACAGTCGCGATCATCTCATGCTGTACCCTTACCATCTGTCGGATATCATGGTGAAGGGCCTGAGGGTCACACCCTTTTCCTACTACACCGGGATCATGGAGGTGAGCTACCCGTGCGAGTGACCCCGTAAGAATAGGGTGGGAGTACACAGCAGAACGCTTTGCAGCTGCCGGCAGCTCTGCACCTACAGCAGACATTGTTTCTGAGCTTACGGTGTGGACGGATGGCTGGTTACAGGTTGGCTGTTAGAGACACATGTGTGCAGATTGTCATCATTGATGTTTGCTCATTGGAAAGGAACCTGCTTTCCACTGTATGTTCTTGAAGGCATTGCTGCCCCTTTGAACTACTTAAACTATTCAGCAGTCACTTATGCAGAGTTTGTGTAAAATGTATTGGCTTTAATATGTAATTAAGGTTGAAAATGTGGGTGACATCTTTTAAGTGAAGAGAAATGTAATATACTTATTCACTAGCTATAAATAAATCATAACATAGACACAACCCTATATAACATGTGCTTCAAGAAAGAGGAATGTGTTAGTAGTCCTACGTCTCTTTTTGTAGTTACTAGCTTTTTATTTTTATTCTTTTCCAAAGGCAGCTTGTGTTTGACTCGCATTGAATAAATTTAACTAGCTGTATACTGTGTTAAAGTGAGCTTTATGTATAGATCAGCCGTATTTATCTAATACTGATTTGTTCTTTAATGAAGTCTGAGTGCTGCTATTTCAAGCTCACTAGCTACCTGGAGGACAGGAAAGCCCGAGGCACCGGAGGCCTGCTGCAAGGGCCGGTCAGCGCCCCACTGTGAGCTCTGCTTGTGTGGCTCTGTAAGCCACTTTCCACCAGCACATCCACAGTCTTCTGTTCCTGTCCTCCTCCTCCTCAGGCTGATAGCCTGAGTAGCATGGTGAAGAAGTGGAGTAGTGGAAAGAAGGTGGCAGTGAATCAGTACATAGAATATTTATTGCTGTCTCTTTACTTTTGTGGTGTCATCCACAAGATCAACAAGACAGATAAGAGTTTTTGTCCTTTGCCAGCCTTCATGCCAGTCACCCAGGTGCTTGCTGCTGTGTAATTTCTGTTTCTATACCGTTGTACTTAGTTCCTGCATTGAAGATGGGTCTAATCCTGAAATGAGCAGTTGATTTATTATTGGAGAAACAGATTGGAGTTGGAAAAAGCAGGATCCTGGGTGTAACTCTCACCACCGAGGCTCACAGGAGCAAATGCTGCTGAGTGGTTAGAGTCTTTGCTGCTAGGAGGTATTTTGGATGCAGGTTGATGGAGCCCTGACACATGGTTCGGCCTTCTCTTAGTGTAGGAATCTAGGATTAGGGTTGAGTGAGGAAGCTGGAAGACTGAGCTGGAACAGAGGTGTTCCTTGCATAGCTTGCGCGGGGCTGAGGTTAGAGGGTGACACGGGGTTCGTAGTGCGGTAAGCAAACAAGACCTGGAAGCCTGCCCTTCCCTTCCTGGATTGGGGCTGTGGCTAAGAACCGCAGTGTCAGCGTGGCATGTGTGCTGTAGCATGACAGACTCTGCTCTCAGTGCTGCTTGAATACACGTTACCCTGGTTTTCTGTAGTAGTATGTCCACATGCTCTTATCTAAGGAAGTCTTTCAAATGTTTTTCTTTTTAAAAGGACATTATGAACAGTGAGAAAAGTTACGACTCATTGCCCAATTTTACTGCTGCTGACTGTAAGTATTTCATTGTGCTGAAGAAGCTAATGTTTAGATTGTGTCTTTGTGCATGCATGCTGTTCTCTTTTGTAGTGTAATGTTTTTAACCTGAAATAAGTGAAAAGTAAGAACAGAGAACAATAGTAGTGGAAACTTCATTGTGTAATAAAACTGAGTTAAGATTTAGTCTAAGAGAATTTTAGGTGATAGAACCAAGATAATAAGATTATACTATTTCTAGAGAATGAAGTTCTTTTTGATATTTGAGTTATGTGACTAGCAAATGGAAGAAGAAAATTTGAGCAGAGTATTTTTACTCTTTGATGTACAGCTTTTGCTTTTTTTTCGGAACTGGGGATTGAACTCAGGACCTTGCGCTTGCCAGGGAAGTGTTAATTCCACTGAGCCATCTCCCTGGCCCCTTGGTGTACAGTTTTTAACCAACATAATTTGTTAGTGTTCTGTTTCAATGATGTACTGTATAGTTTTGAAATTAATAGTTCTGCATGTAAGAAGCTTTTGTTAAGCAGTATATTTTTACTTCTTGAAATTAGGAGGAGTTCTGTTTTTTAAAAATGTGCTTATTTAGCTTTGTTGAAAGCATCTGAACTCATCTCCCTGAGGTTCAGTTTTCTTTTGTTTTATTTGAAGAATTCTTTTTTTTTTTTT